TGAACCATTTTCCTGCCTTAAATTTCATGCCTCTGCACTCTGTTTCTTGCCTTCCAATTTTTAGTCTTTTTAGGGTTCTTTGCAAGGTCCTCTTCTGTTAAACTATTGGTGTTGACATCTGTCAATTCCTTTTAGGGCTTTGACACAGATTCTCTTATGTTCACAGTCTACATCATGTAGACTTTCTCAATAAGTATATTTATTCTCCATTTTATCTGTTCTTGTACTTGAAATTTCATATATATTTATCACTCCGCCCTTTTTGCCTCTAACTACTCATCACGAACTGCCCATAGAATCGGGTCTTGCTTCTGTGTTCCATATCTCTGTGGATTGTGGCACTATCTTCCCACTTTCTGAAGTCAGAGACCATGGTAATAGTCTCACTCTTCCTTCATCTTTTCTTTTTCTTCTTAATGATTCTTCTTATTGAGTCTGTTCTGACTCTGCAGCATCTTTGGACTGACAATAAAAACAATAGTTTTATGGGCAGTATCTACTAAAATATAGCCTAAAACGTACCCATTATTTTAGAAATAATAGTGCTGTATGGTAATTGTCTGTTCATTTGTCCCTTTCACTTAAAAAAAGTATAAACTCCTTAATGATAGGAAGTATGTGATAGTTTTTGGTATATTCCAAGCTCCTATTTCTTGGAAGTTAGTGTGTAACAAGAAAAATTTCTTGAGTGAGATATTCAAGATAAATTTTAATTTTGACTAATGTAATTTCAGAATTTTTGTGTTTAATAGTGTTGAGTACAGAGTGGCTGAAATTATATATTGGGGCAATATTTTAAAGTTTTACCTTGATTAAGGACATAGACTAGATGGTATGCATGAGTCAAAAAATATATGACTTGAGCACAATCTATTAATATAATAAATGCATGTGGTAAAGGTTACATACAATCCTCAAATGAATCCCAGTAGTATGAATAAATAGGAAACCCTTTCTTTGTATGCATACACTTTAAACATTAGCAGAGAAGGGGTATGGATGCAGATAACCAGAAAATGATGTTTGAAAGTAGGGAAGATACCCTAGGGAGATTCTTGTTTTGCCAAGTAATGATATTGGCAGTGTGTCAAAAATGTAAAGAATCTAAGAATTCCAACTACAGCTTTACCAAATTAATCTCAACAAGCTGATGTTCAGAATTTTTTTTAGTACTCTAATGGAAGTTGCAAAGTTTATGAAAGAATTTAACATTGCTCAGTAACTTGAAACAGAATCACAGTCCTTAAACATCATTTATTTTTCAATATATTTTTGAAATTAATAGGTTTTTAGAGCAGTTTTAGTTTTATGGAAAAATTGAGCAGACAGTACAAAGAATTCTTATGGCCCTCCCCCTCTTCTACTCTCTCTGTCTCTGTTCTTATTATTATCTTTCACCAGTATGTCACATTCTTTACACTTGATGATCCAATATTGGTCCATTATTATTAACTCAAGGTTATAGTTTACACTAGAACCCATTCATTGTGTTGCACCTTCTATGAGTTTTGATAAATGTATAATGTCACATATCTACCATTATGGTATCATACAAAATAGTCTCACTGCTTGATATGGTTTGGCTGTGTCTTCACCCAAATCTCATCTTGAATTGTAGCTCCCATAATTTCCAAGTGTTGTAGAAGGGTAAGAGGGACCTCCCTTTGCCCAAACCCTAACAATCACCGATTTTTTTTTCTACCTATACTTTAGCCTTTTCCGGACTGTCATTGTGGAGACTAAAACAACTCCATCTTGGATGCTAATCCACCGTGTTGACTTCTGAATAACCCCAGTTCTGGAATGCCTATAAGATTTATATTTTACCTACTGTTCCTTTTGTAAGAGTATGCACTTACTGTAAATGCTCTCTTAGGTCAAAACAAACTTGATGTTGTCACATATACCATAAATCTTGCCCTTAGGCAATTGTCAGGCACATCCCGTCTGTAACATACATACCCTTTCCCTGTGGCATATTATTAAGCCCTGGGAAGTGTGGTGATCCGCCATTTCATCTTGTGGCTGCTTGAGACATGGCTTCTGTTCTTGAGTCCCGATTAAATGTTTCTTTCTGAGAAACTGGGTTTATTGGCCTATTTCTTCGACATCTCAGCTTCCTTGGCCCTTGGATGTAGGTCTGCATAGACTTGTTCACTGCAGAACAGTTGTATATTATATAGCTTTTTTGACTGGTTTCTTTCACTTAATCATATATATCAACACTTAATGAATGCTTAAAATGTACAGAGCAGTGAGCTAGAAGCTGGATAAATAAGAATTCACCCCTTTAATGAGTCTGTGACCTAATAGGGCTAGCAGATATGTAAATAAATAAATTACAATGTGTAGATATGTAAATAAATTAATGACAATACAGTGAAATATGTCTAAGAGTCTTAATAAAAAAATATAGAGATAGTAGGAAACTATATGGGGGCAAATGGGCAGTGTTTTGGTTAACCGTCGCAGAGGAAATGATTTCTAAGCTGGATTCTGAGAGATAGATATGGTTTTACCAGAATAGAGGAGTCATCCATCTCCAGTTTCTGTATTTTGGCATTTCCAGGAGCCATTTACACTAAATGTATTTCATAAATATAGCTCTTTTAGTATTTCTTGATGTTCTAGTATTATTAGATTGGTGCAAAAGTAATTGCAGTTTTTAGCTAAGATATTGACTATACCTTGTGGGCACATGACAAATAGAGTTAAGTGAACACAATGTAAAAATCTTTCACTGTGTATTCAAATAGTAATGTTATTGAACCAGTATGCTTGTACTTTGACTTGTTTTTCTGTTGGTGATGACTAGTTTGTGACCAATATGGGTGGAATTAAGGGTGTTGTTAGAGGCTATAAAAGAAAGTCATCTGCTGTTACACACTGAACCTAACCATATGACTTTAAGTTCTATGTCAGAATAAGCTGCCAAAATGGTTTAAAGATTGCTATTTAAACATAAATATATACATATATATACACAATACTTCTCCACAAATATTGCCAGATTTTTCCTTTAAGTAAATTTTTATTCTGACACAATTTGTACATTAAAATGATCATAGGTAATTGGAAGTTTTGTTTTTTACATTTCTGTCCTCCCAAGTATATTGTGGGTGTCATCTGTAATTATGAATGTGAATTGGATGAAAACACTCAATATTTGTTGGATAAAAGCATAAGTACATAATGCAGAAATGAAATATGTAAAACTCAACATCACATTGAGATATTTTTAGAGCACATTTATTTCTTTTTAAAAAAATATTCAGATGTTGCCAAACATTTATGTTTGTAATTCCTTATTTCTGCCTTTTAATTTAGACCAATAGTATGGATCATTGCAAATAATTCTGAAAATATCAGGGATCTTATCATCAACCTCTTACTTTAGGTAACTCAAATTGGGTTATGGTGTATAATCATCTCACAAAGTAGTTTGCAAATCATGAATAGCTTTAATTGGCTATTTGCCTCAGATATTCTGAAAGACTCAACCTTTAGTCATGTTTTAAATAAAAAAGAAAATACAGCATGGCTCAAGTTATTTCCTGTACTTAAAACATTTGGCAAAAATGAGTTTCAGGGTTGTTAAAACTGATGTGTTCAAATTTGGCAGCCTCTTTTGTCCTGAGGGTACACTGTAACATCTGCTATTCCACAGTGTATACACTAATCATGAGAAGCCTTGCTTTAATATTGTTTTTTTAAACCTTAAATATACATGAAAAAAAAATTTACAACAATGTTTTAGGATGAATGATACTATAAAATTATATTGGCCTACTTTGGGAAAAACACATGTTTTTCTCTTTAATTATGTCTAAAACACATGGATTGAACACCTGTAAAACAATTTCATGCAAAAAGCATGAAACAAATTTTCTAAACTGCACTATTGAGGAAGACTTGTGATGACCTTAATTCCCATTGATATGCCTATAGCAAGAGTCTTATTATATTTCATCCCAGACCTGAGGGCATTTTCTGATATCTCTTAGATGGGAAATATTAGCTTCATAAAGCACAGATAGACAGAATAAGTCCTTGTAGCAGCTATTTTTGAGATTACAAAACAAACAGTGTTTCTAGCCTCAATGAACTGTATGTGTAAGGGAAATGACAGGCCACTCATTTGCTGACTAAAAAAGTCTTGGTTTAAAAGTAACCTATCTCATCTACCAGGAAACAAGTATACATGCTTTAACCCAAGCATCTCAGCAGCCCTGTGTGTATGGGGGTGCGTGTGCTTTTGTTTGTGTGTATATGTGTGTGTATGCCCATGTATGTGGCATTCATGAAACTTCATATAAGTAAGATTACAGATGCATAATTTGCTAAGTGTTTTATATGTATATAAACAGCCGAACAATTTTAAAAATAGATTTTATTTCTAAAAATAGTGTTAGATTTACAGACAGGTTTTGATAGCAGAGTTTCCACTTACCTGGTAACCAGTTCCCCTGCTATTAACATCTCAATTGTTATAATTAGTATGACATATTTATTATAATTAATGGACCAGTATCCATCCACTGATTATTAATCAAGTTCATATGTTATTCAGATTTCCTTAGTTTTTACTTAATACCCTTTTTCTGTTCTAAGATCCCATTTAAGGTAATACATTTAGTTGTCACATTTAGACTCCCCTCAGCTATGACAACAGGTAAGACTTTCCTTGATTTTTTATGTTTTTGACAGTTTTGAGGAATACTGGCCAGGTGTTTTGCAAATTTCTTCATTAATCACTCTCTTGAAAAACTATTTAGCCAGTGGATAAATTTCTTTTTGTCTAAGATTTAGGGATAGAAAAAGTGACACTAATTACCTTGAGATGAAATCAATGTACCCATTGCTAAATCTCATCAGCAAGAAATTTCCTAAATATAGAAGACTGGATATTTTTCCATGATTGCTGCTGTAAGAAACAATATGCTGGCAGTTGTTATGAACCCTTTTTAAAAATACGTTTTTACGCAGATGGCCTTGCGAACTGCGAAGATCTTGGGATGATCTAAGCAACTGTAGAGACAGTTTGGGCCTTTCAGTTGGTAACATTCAGGTGTAATTAGGTGCTATTCTGAATCGAAAGCATAGCTGTTATGGGGTTCTCTCATTTGATGGAAACACTGAGTTATAACCAGTGGTAGGAAATGTAGTGTGTGTGTGCATGTTTGTTTTTTTTCCAGTAGACTGATTTTATTTATTTGACGAATATTCATTGAGCCTCCATTCTATGTCAGCTACTTGTATGGGTGCACTGAAAACTTAGTTTCTGTGCCATTTTCATGTCTCTGTTCTGTGAGTCCCCAGCTTCCCTGTTCCCTATTTTCTGAGTTTCCCGGTAAACCATTGAAGAACACTCCTTAAACAAATAAAATTCAGTTGACCTTTAATTATAAACAAGTTAAATCAGAAGTAAATATTTTTAAACTGTAGATAAAGGAAGTTAATAACTATACAAAGCTAACTTTGTAGCTGGATTATGCCCTCCAGTGTAATGTATGATGTGGTACCTTGTGATTACAAATGTAAATCATTGAATTGGGAGCAAAGGTTACACATTAGGTGGCATTACTTGTTTTTTCTCCCACCTTCAATTCCTTTGCTTTTTAAATGTTTTGCAAATAAAGATTTCGCTATTTTGTAAATCAGCTAATATTTTTAGTTTCATAGTTTTGTCAGGTGGATTGCACCCAAACTGATGTCTTATGCAATCAGTAAAAACTGTCCACAAATGAAAAGAAAACAAAATTAAAGGGTTCTGTATACAATTTTTTAAAAAATTTATTCTTGTTTTGCCATTTAGTTTTATTTTGTAAATTCCAAGAATTAATTTATATACTTTTTATATCATGCCTTTTGGTGGACATAAAAATCACTTGTTTCCGTCTCTCATTAGAAATAGTACAAAATATCTTGTGTCTTGAATGCATGGAAAGCAAAGGGAAAATTTTGCTGTTACCTTGAGTATCTTTGAACCTTTAAAAGATATCATGTACTCCAAGATACTGTAATTAATTCACCTTGGAGTACATGATATCTTTTAAAGGTACAAACATACCCAAGGTAACAGCAAAATTTTCCCTTTGTCTAACTCAGACATGGGAGCTTCTAATCTGTGCACCTCCCATTAATAACACGTTTCTAGAGCTCAATCAACCACAGAAAGATAGAAACAAGAAAATAAAAAAAATTGAATGAATTTCTTCCCTTATTCTGATGCTGGTAAGCTGATAAAATGAGGGAAATCCTGATGTTGGCCCTAAGCTGTGAGAGGGATTAATAATATTAGCCTATTGTGTTAGTTTGGCAGGGCCACACTAATAAAGCACCATAAATTGGGCAGCTTGAAACAGCTGAATCTTACTGTCTCACAGTTCTGGTGGTTATGAGGGACTGTGTGAAGGAAAACCGAGTCCACAAGGGGCGTGGTTTCAAAGGCAAGAGCTTCCCAGCACCATGCCTCTGTCTACCTCCTCATCCAAGAACCTAGAGTTCTTTGACTTTCCCACATGCCTGCTAGGTAAAATTCCAGCTGTGCTCCTTTGTTTAAAAAGCCCACAGAAAGCTCTGGGAGGAAGGGGCTCTGTTGCAGATCAGACAGCCAATCTGATATCAAAGTTGAAGACCAGTCACTCCAGAGGAAGTTTAAAAGAAGTCCTCTCATTAAACAAGAACATGAATGGGTGAGAATAACTCCCAGGTTAAAATTCCCCTGCCCCTTACCTGTGTAGACTCCTTCTCCAGATCTCCTCCCATGGTAATGGGGAAGCTGTATCTCTATCTCTACCTGTGCCAATAACCCCTCTGGATTCCCCTCCCATGGCAGTGTGGGAGGTCTCTCTACTTCTCTCTCTTTTTCTTTCTCTAATAAATCGCGCTCTGCTAAACTGTTTGGGTTCAATATTTACTTGACCAGTAAGCTCACTGCACCTCCAGGGCCTCTTTCTCATTCTTGGGGCAAAGGAAGCCCAAGAACCTTGGGCACATCCAATCAGGGAGGGAGTTGAACCCTGTCCTGTCCCACCACCCAGTGACATCTTTGGTGAGCCAGCCAGGAGAAACATCATGAGTGACTGTGTTACTTCAGAATGGTGACTGTATTGGACCCCTCTGTCTTGCTAATCTCTCCTATTCACTTCTTTTAAATTCATTAAGGAGAAACGCTGGGCAGATGCTGCCTGCAGAAACTGGGCAGTGCAGGCTCAGGCTGTAAAAGCCACAATCACTGGTGGTGAAGGTCGGGGGGGCGGTGGCACAGGAAGACACCCCGGCAAGCCCCCTCCAGGGTCAGCTGTGCCAGTCACAGCACAGGAGCACACTCCCTCAGGGTGACCAGTGACCCGGAAAGCCGGCCTGCTTGCTAGCTGGCTGCGCATCATGGGCATGAACTGAGCAGGTGGGGCATTGCATTTGAGGCCCAGCTTTTCAATAGCACGGCTGCAGGGATTTAAAGGTACAGGCGCCCACACTGCCTGTGAGGAGCAGAGCAGATGCACTAACCTGGGGCAAGCACCAGCACAAGCCATCATCCACACCGAGCCCTGGGTAAAGATAGCCATAGAGGGCTAGGAAGTTGATCTCCTAGACACTGGCTCGGCCTTTTCAGTTTTGCTCTCCTGTCCTGTATGGTTGTCCTCCAAGTCTGTAACTGTTGGAGGAGTCCTAGGACAAGCAGTTTCCCCATATTTTCTCCCAACCCCTAAGCTGTAACTGGGGTGATATACTCTTCTCCTATGCCTTCCTCATCATGCCAGGAAGTCCAACTCCCTTACTAGGGTGGGACCTGTTAGCCAGTGCAGGAGCCATTGTCTATATGAACATCATCAGGGAGGAAATCCTTTCTTGCCCATTATTTAAAGAAGGGATTAATCCCAAGGTTTGGGCAATGGACAGACAATTTGGATGGGCAAAGAATGCATGCCCAATTTGAATAAGGCTAAAGGATCCCACCTCTTTTTCTTACCAAAGACAGTAACCCTCGAGACAGGAAGCAAAAACGGGACTACAGAATACTGTAAAGAAGTTAAAAGCTCAATGTCTAGTGAAGTCCTGTAACAGCCCTTGTAATACTCCAATTTTAGGAGTACAAAAACCTAATGGACAACAGAGGCTGGTGCAAGATCTCAGGTTTATCAATGAAGCTGTGATCCCTTTATGCCCAGCTGTACTCAACTCAGACACCTCACTCTCTCAAATACCAGGAGAGGCACAATGGTTTCCAGTCCTGGACCATAAGGATGCCTTTTTCTGTGTTCCATTACATCCTGACTCCCAGTTTCTATTTGCTTTTGAAGACCCTTTAGACCAGAATTCTCAGCTCACCTGGACAGTGTTACCCCAGGGCTTTTGAGATAGCCCCCACCTGTTTGGCTAGGTTCTAGCTCAGGACCTTAGTCATTTTTCACATCCAGTTACCCTGGTTCTTCAACAAATGATGACTTATTTTTAACTGCTAACTCAGAAACCCAGTGTCAGCGGGCCACACAGGACCTCCTAAACTTTCTTGCCACCTGTGGATATAAGGTTTCCAAAGCAAAAGCCCAATTTAGTAGGCAACAGGTAAAATACCTAGGGCTTGTCTTGTCTAAGGGCACTTGGGCCTTTGATAGAGAATGTCTCCAACCCATATTGGCCTTCCCACATCCAAAAACCTTAAAACGGTTGCGGGGATTCTTAGGAATAATTGGATTCTGCCAATTGTGGATTCCCAGATATGGTGAAATAGCCAAACACCTATACGCTGTAATTAAGGAAACCCAAAAAGCAAACACCCATCTACTACAATGGGACCCTATAGCTGAGGCAGGCAGACTTTCAGACCCTCAAGCAGGCACTACTGCAGGCTCCAGCTTCAAGCCTTCCTACAGGGAATGACTTCTCCCTATATGTTACGAAAAGTCATGAGTAGCACTGGGGGTTCTCACCCAGACTTGGGGGACCATGCCACAACCATTGGCATACCTAAGTAAGGAAATTAATACAGTAGCAAAAGGCTGGCCACACTGCTTGTGAGTCATAACCACAGTGGCTATACTGGTCTCAGGAGCTGTTAAAATAGTGCAATGGAAAGATCTAACTGTATGGACTTCACATGATGTAGCTGGAATTCTGGCCTCTAAAGGAGGCTTATGGCTGCCTGACAACCACTTACTCAAATATCAGGCCTTAACGCTTGAAGGGCCTGAACTTCAGCTGTGCACATGTGCAGCCCTCAATCTAGCTACGTATCTTCCTGAGTAAGGGGAAAACAGAGAACTGTCAGCAGGTTATAACCCAGAACTATGCAGCTCAAGAGGCTCTCTTAGAAACTCCTCTAGCCAATCCTGACCTTAACCAATACACTGATGGAAGTTTATTTATGGAAAATGGAGTTTGAAAAACAGGATATACAGCAGTCAGTGATCAAACAGTGCTTGAAAGTAATTCCCTTCCTCCTGGAACTAGTGCCCATCTGGCAAAACTGGTAGCCCTTGCTCAAGCTCTAAAATTAGGAAAAGGAAAGAGAATAAACATTTACAAAGATTCCAAATATGCTTACCTGGTTCTGCATGCTCGTGCTGACATATGGAAGGAAAGAGAGTTCCTAACTTCAGCAGGAAGTCCCATGAAATATCATAAGGAAATTTTAGACTTATTACAAGCCGTCCAAAGAGGTAGTAGCCTTACACTGCCGGGGTCATCAGAAAGGAGATGAGAAAGAAGTGGAGGGCAGTCGTCGAGCTGACCTAGAGGCAAAAAGGGCAGCTAGACAAGAATTTACAGGAGGATCTTTAATATGAGAAAACCTCTCCAGGGAGCTAGACCTCAATACTCATCAGAGGAGGTAGAGTGGGCAATCCCCAGGGACATAATCTTCTTTCTTCAGAGTGGCTAGCTACTGAGGAGGGAAAAGTGCTCCTACCTGCTGCCAGCTGGTGGGAAGTACTTAAAATCCTACATCAAACCTTCCATATGGGTATAGATAATACACATTGAATGGCCAAATCTATATTTACGGAAGGTGATCTCTTCAAGGCTGTCCAACAAATTGTCAAAGGATGTGAAATGTGCCAGAAAAATAATCCTTTGTCACATCACAAAGTATCTCCTGGGAAGCAGCGAACCGGTCATTACCCAGGTGAGGACTTGCAAATGGACATGACGCATATGCCTAAGTCTGGAGGAAATCAATATCTGCTAGTATGTGGGGACACCTACACAAACTGCATTGAGGCTTTCCCCTGTAGAACAGAGAAAGCCCAAGGGGTAATAAAAGCCCTGATTAATAGAATAATCCCTAGATTCAAACTTCCTTGCTGTCTTCAAGCGATAACAGCCCTGCCTTCAAAGCTGCAGTGACCCAAGGAATTTCCAGGGCGTTAGGAATACAGTATCATCTCCACTGTGCTTGGAGGCCTCAGTCCTCAGGGAAAGCGGGAAAGATGTATGAAATTCTTAAGAGACACCTAAAGAAACTGGCACAGGAAACCCACCTCCCGTGGCCTTCTCTACTACCTATAGCATTCTTAAGGGCTGGAAACTCTACTCAGAAAATAGGGCTCAGCCCCTATGAGATTCTTTGTGAACAGCCCTTTCTTGCTAATAATCTTGTATTAGACAAGGAAATAGCAGATCTAATAAAATATGTAACCTCCTTGGCTAAGTACCAACAAGCACTTAGGACTAGTACAAGGAGACATTCTTGCACAGGGAATAGACAAAAGAATATAATTTGAGTCATTTAAAATGTATGCCAGAAACCAGCTATCCATTGCTGTGGAGAGAGATTGTATAGATATGTTTTCTGGGCTGGGCACGGAGGCTCACGCCTATATTCTCAACACTTTGGGAGGCTGAGGCAGGCAGATCACTTGAGGCCAGGAGTTCGAGACCAGCCTGGCCAACCTGGTGAAACTTTGTCTCTATCAAAAATACAAAAAATTAGCCAGGCATGGTGGTGCATGCCTGTAGTCCCAGCTACTCAGGAGGTTGAGGTTGGAGGATTGCTTGATCCCAGGAGGTAGAAGTTGCAGTGAACTGAGATTTTTGACACTGTGCCTGGGTGATAGAGTGAGACTGCTTCTCAAAAAAATAAAATAAGATTTTAAAAGTAGCAAATCTCATATTTCTGCTTTCACAACTCTTTTACCCTCTTAAAAACTATGGAGGACTTCAAAGAACTTTTGTTATTGTAGGTTATGTCTACAATGTTTACCGTAGATCTGATCTTACTATTCTAATTTCATCATTCAATTCAAGTTCCTCTTTACTGTGCCCTGGGACCAAGATAACCAGGCACAAAGGAATGGCTTCTGAAACATGTAGATGAGCATAGATGTACACCAGTACATACTTTCAATAATGAGGAAGAATAAAATGAATATAATGGCTAAGAAACTTCCAATATACCACCAAATGTGGCCTCTGGAGATCCCCCAAGCAGAGTGTATAAACTAATGGCCTCAGAGTGTCACGATCCAAATCTAAAATCACATCCTGTCCTTTTTCTGGATCCTGTCAAAATGATTCTGAGGGATTTATAAGTAAGTTTCTTATAATAACCTATTTTTGAGTATGGAAAAACTGTCACGAAACTCCTGTTTGTTACTTCATTATAGTGTCCTTGTTTCTTGTTTAGCAATAACCTAAACAGACTCTGCAGGATGCTCAGAAAATGGTTTCATGGGTGGAGCTACAAGCTAAACAGGATTGCAGAGAAAAGAACTAACAGGCCCTGCTGGTTTCTCAGATGCAGCGCTGCATATTGCAAGAGGTTTCATTAGGAGACATGCTTTAGGAGGGGTTGATGGCAGGCCAGTCAACCAGGTGCAGTGTCAAGGCTGCTTACAGCTTACTCCTCTGAATAAGTTGAGCTAAACTGAGCTATAAATGGACTCTACTTCTATTTAATCAAATAGTCTTAGTGCAGTGAGGAATTTTAGTGCAATAAACCATCACCATCCTAATTCGATCATCTTGTAAGTTTCATCAAGTGTTTGAATCCTTTGTGGGGGGCGACCCTCATTATTGCTAACCAGGTTTCCTTGAGCATCTTCAGTAATTTAAATTTCGCTGTCAACACTAGGGAACCTATTCTTTTATTGAATAACTTGAACTGCTATAAAGTTGTTATGTGGAGCAGCAAAGTATTCACTAAATAGGAAATGCCCTATTGTTTTAATTCTATCCCCTGGGATGACTCCATCCCAGGAAAAACTCCCGTCTGTCTTTCTCATGTGATTCCTTCAAATATTTCAAAGCAACCAGAGTATTTTGCCCAACGTGTCTTGTTTTCATTACGGATATGTATAGTTTGTTCATCACATGGTTCAAGTCTCTTTACAATCTTTGTCATTTTTCTCTGGACATATATGGAATTAAACATTGTCCCAGAGTTGAACGTAAAATTCTGTGTCTATGCACCATAAAATTGAACGTTCCTATGGCATTTATGGTTACAAAAAAGTTTTAAGTATTTTTTTCAGGTACCCTGTTATCTTACTTCTTTCTCTGTGTTGTACTTTTTGGGAATTCCTTTTTACTCAATTTTTGAATTTTACTCCTAACCCTGTGAAATCTGGTAGCGTATACAATATCAAAACCCAAGGATATTTCTGGATCTCTAATTATTCATTCAAAAACTAATCTACCTTAAGCAGCTTATAGGAATTCTTTTTTCCTTTGATTCTGAAAATGATTCACTTCACACAGGTAAGTTTATATATGTTTATGGTTGGTGTTCTGATTTCTTGGTGTCCATGCCATACCAATAGTTACATATTTTGAATGTCACACATTCGTGGTATTCAGTATATGTCAAAGGGAATGAAACATATATTGAGGAATAGATCTAATGTAAGATATTAGAATAGTACATGTATGTGTACTCCTCTAAAATGCGAGAGAAAGTAAACTTATAAATGTTATATTGCCTATAATATGCACATTAAGACTTATTCAATGAATAATTCTTTGAATTAGCCAATTTATCTATTTTTTATATGATGACAGTAATGAAAGTTTAATGTTATCTACCCTTTGGAAGTGTATCTGTTTGATTTTTTTTTTTAAGTTAATCTCCTTTAAACAAAATATGTTTGGTATTTGGAATGTTGGGTCCTTTCTCTGGAGATTGTTTAAAATGTAAAATAATCCATTGTTCTCAGCTAAAATAGTTCTCTGTTACTATCTTCTTGTGATCTTTCTTTGTCCTTCATGCAGTTTCAAATCCGGATGCACAATTTTCCTGCCAGAAGTTAATGCTTACTTCTCATTTGTTTTCTTTTCCTGTTGTCTTCAGAGCTCCACAGAGAGAAGGTACTATTTCTGCAATCTCTAAGACATGTGGCTTTCCCAGGAAGATTGTTTATTTAATGAAAAAGAAGAAAGGTCCACTCTATATGTTTGGAGTTACATAAATATTCTTTAAAAGGAGGATTTCCTCATTTATTCTAGTTTAGCCTCTCTGTTCAGAGAGAGAGCTTTAAATGCACCTTTAATCACTATATGATGACAGCTTGAGTTACAATTTTATAATAGTACCAAATATTTTCAAGACATTGGAAATAAGAAATGTAAAATGGAATAATAATTCCTAATTTCTCTCTCCATATATATTACAATATAAGATTACTGCATATTTTCACATTCAAAACCAGCTTACTATTATAAACCTAGTAATAAAAATAACACATAGTGCTATGATAGCAGCTAAGTTTGAATAGAAGGTATGAAAAAGGAGACAGACAAGGTATTGTTCTATACATTTAGAACTAATAGGTTTGTTTAATTTTTTATCTCACATTCTTACTTATGTAGAGTTTGCCTACCATGTTGTAACTGAAGTTGGAAAAACCTTTAATAGGTACCATAATAGAAAGATATTTTCTATTGGAAACAGTATATTTTATACTCTCCTTGACATCATCTTATGGGTTGAGTTTTAAATTAAACATAGAATTCAGAAAACACCATAAAGCCTTTTACATTTGGCAAATATAATTATTTCTCAAAAATGTAACAAAAATGGGCATGTGGTAGGTACACGGAAAGAAAGGCAGCAATAATTAAAATATTATTTAAAATAATATTTTATAATGTTAATATTTAATATAACAAATGTTTACATATACAATTACACATAATATAATACATATATGTCTTACATGTATTACATATGACACATATATAATGTATATTTCATATAATATGTTACAAATAATCTTATAATGTATAATATATATATATTTTAAATATATATTTATAAATATAAATACATTGTCAAGGGTTAGAATCACATTAGAGCTTTTTCATTTTATGTAGTGAATACTCACAAATCAGTTACAGATATTTTTTCTCAGAACATTTTTATTCTATATTAAACATTATAGTATAAAAGTGGTGAAGCAAAAGCCATTAAAATATGCCAGCTCTTTTACAATTATGTCTAAAAAAGGCAAATATTAGGATACAATTTTTATCCAAAGCATAATATCTATGGATGTACATGACCTGTTTAGGAGAAAAGAAACATGTTCAAGTCACATTGAAATAGCAGAGAGAAATATGTCAGGGTTTCAGGGTTATGTGAGGGAAACATCATGTTTCCTCCAAATAATAAGTTGTCAGGCATTTTATCATAGCTTCCTGAAGATGACACATGACCTTTAGATCTGTTGTGTATCATAAATAATTTTCTTGTTTGGCATTGCACTGGTTTTGATCTGCAATGAAGCACATTAATTACACTCTTTTCTTTGCATTTAGAATTTTGAACATTATTTTCAGAAAAGTCATAGTTTGAAGTGCTTCAAAATCTTTGAACTCAGAAAAGGAAGCTGCTTTATGTCAAAACTGTGATAAAAGCAAACATTTTAATAAATGTTGGATAGACTTAAATAGTTTTCTTTGTGTTCATCTCAAGCATACATTGAAAGCTTATTAAACTGTATTGACTTGTGTAATAAATGTCATAAAAGAATCAGAGTTCTAGAAGATTCTTGTTTCCTTTAGGCAGAACCACATTTGAAACAAACTGAAATGAGAGAAAGTATGATTGTGCAAAAGAGCTTAGAGTTTTATACACCCTCTCAACAACTGTTCCCATAAGCCTCACCTGTACTGTCAGGTCATTCATGCTTTCTTTTCATTTGTCTGCTTTTGTTACTGTAAGTTAAGCCAAGTAATTGCTGCCTCTGCTGACCTCAGGTTGAAACAGAGTTAAATTAGCCCACCTCTATGTGTGCCAGATGTTCCTTTGGTCAAGGTGGCTGGTTCTCTCTGTTTGTGTAGGTAACGAATTATAATCGCTTGAGCTTGTAGCCATTGTTCCTTTTTACCAAACCTTTCATGACCATGAAGATTTCCTTCTGTGCCTTTTAGAGTCATCCACAGCTTTCAGAAACAAGGGCTAATTATCACTGATGTGATTGACTGCCATTATTTCCTGGTTATAATTTTCTCAATACAATTTCTCTTCACAACTCCTCTTATAATACTTTTGAG